GTAAACACTTTTTTTTTTTTTAAATGTAAAGCAGTTTGAACTGTTTAAAGCACAACCATAAGGATGCGAGGGAAAAAAATAAAAAATAAAAAACAAAAACAAAAACAAAACAACCCAAGCACTTTGCAAGAATTAAATAAAGCATGTAATAAATATGAATCATAAACTTCTGTACACAGGAGCAAGGGTTTGGGGAATTTCCTTTTTTTTTTCTTTTTTTTAATCATTTAATCAATATAAAAAAAAAAAGTTTTTTGCTGTTTTGCTTTTGTTTTCAGTGCATCTTCTTCCTCCTTAAAACGCTTGACCCTTTCCTCTCTGCATCTCTCAGGCCCAGGATTGCGCACGCCTAAATGGCAAAAAAGACGAGGTCTAACAAACCCCCTTTCCAAAAAACTCTTAAAAAAATATTCACAGCCTCGAACAGTTTTGTACATTTCAAGCAACAAAAGGTATAGAAAAAGGCACGAGTAACTGCATACATGTGGAGATAATACCAGACTGGGACAAAGAAAAACCAGGAATTTTTCCATGGGTTTGGTCATTCACTAGAGTGCTTCTGATGATTATACTGAAGGAAATAGTGTTGAAAACGTCTGCTGATTTTACAGAGGAAGCCTAAAGGTGGAACAGCTGGCGGAGGCTGTGAGTACTCCCCGTTTTTCCATCCACCTCGGTCGGAGTTGGACCTAAATCGGGGCGCTCGGGGCGTGGGTGGCTCCTGCCGGGCTCCCCGCAGTGGCTCCGGCTCCGCAGGGAGCGGGGCTGGGGCTGGGGGTGCCCGGGGTGGGCTCTGGGGGGCGGCTGCTGCTCCTGGGGGTGCCCGGGGTGGGCTCTGGGGCGCTGCCGCTGCTCCGGTCCAGCGCGGGCGAGATGAAGGTGCGCGGTGGTTCCGAGGGGATGCTCGAGCTGCCCGGTGGCTGCTGGCCCGTGGCTTTCGGGGGGTCATCCCCGCTGGCCGAAGGTTCCGGAGGGGGCTCCCGGGCCGTGCTGGGGCTGCCGGGGGACACCGGGGGCTGCTCCGCATGGCTGGGCTCGGCCACGGCCGCCACGGCCGCCCCGTGCTCCTCCCGCTCCCGCTGGAGCTCCCTAGTCCTCATCTCCTCCTCCGCGAAGCCACGGCCCGCCGGCTCCGGGGACAGCGTGTACTTGGAGACCTTGGCCACGGGCGACACGGACGCCGAGGACGGCTCGGGAGGGGTCGGGGGCTCCTCGTCCCTCCGGGGAGCCCGGCAGGGCTGGGCGAGGTCACCGGCGGCGGAGGCGAAGAGTCCGGCTGGGAGCGGCGCGGCGGGGCCGGGCAGCAGCCCGGGGTGGGCGCTGGGCCGGGGCTGCACCATCTGGATGCCCCCGATGGGGATCATGGGGTACGGGGTCCGGGCCAGCTGCTGCGAGTGCAGCGGGAGGTGGCTGAAGACATTCTCCTCCCCTCGGCCGGGAGCGTGGAGGTCGTGGGCGGCCGCCAGGGGCCGGGGGCAGGCGGGCGGTGAGGTGCCGGGGGAGCAGGGCGGGCTGCGGGGCTCCAGCTTCTGTGCCGGGGGGGAAAAGAAAGAGCTGGGTCAGAGTGACACGGGAGGGACAGCGTGAGCGGCTCCGGTGGCACGGCGAGGAAAGGRTTTGGTGTTCGGGTCCGGTTTGAGGGAGGTCAGCGGGGACCGAGGGAGATGTGCAGCCCCAAACCCTGAGCGGCAGGAGCAGCACAGCCCCGCGGCGATCACCTGAAGGGCCCGAGGTACCCCCGGTGGGGTCAGCCACAGGGGTTTGGGTTAGGCCGGGATCACCGAAAAATCACAGAAAGGTTTGGTTGGAACGGACCTTTAAAGGTCATCCCRTCCAACCCCTGCCATGGCAGGGACCCCTCCCACTGTCCCAGGCTGCTCCCAGCCCCAGTGTCCTGCCAGGGATCCAGGGGCAGCCACAGCTGCTCTGGGAATTCCATCCCAGCCCCTCCCCACCCTCCAGTAAGAAATGTCCCCCTCTGATCCAATCTGACTCTCCCCTGAGTCAGTTTGAAACCATCACCCCTTGTCCTGCTCTCTGAAGCCCTGACAGGKGTCACCAGTGTTGGCTGCCAGCAGGGCTGCTCTGGATCCCTGTCAGCGCAGGGGGCTCCTGAGAGCCCGGAATGAGGTTATTTAGTTATTTTTATTGCATTTTCCTCAAGCAGGATGGCATCCTCACGGCTGCTGAGTGTAGGGATGCTCCGAGGGAGAGGTGGCATCAATGGGTCCCCACCACCACCACCCTCATGGGGTGCTCAGTACAAACTGAGGGTTCAGACCCTACATTTTACCTTTTCCTCTTTCTCTCCCGGTGYGTCCCACAGTTTCCTAACGCACATCATGGACAGATTTGTGGCTGAACAGAAATGGATGGATTAGTGACCGGGTCAGAGCTAAACCCCTGCGCAGGGCTCCCGAGATGAGGGAGCGACAGAAACCAAAACCAATTTCCCATCCGGATGGGGTTGAAGTGTGAGGGTCTRCTGGAGGGCACCTTGCCTTTGTGGGATGATGGGGAATAATTCCCTGAAGCTGTGAATGAGCTGGATGTCAGCAAAGAAAGCAGTGGAAGAAAGCAGGGAGAGAGAACAGGAAAGGAAGAGCCACCAGAGGCAGAGCGTGCCAGGCCAGTGACGAGCCCCAGCGCTGCTCAATGTCACTCATCCACGGGAATTCTCAGCTAAATCACTTTAGGGATCCTGGGAAACCCCAACAAATTATTTCAGTGGTGCAACAATGGCCACAAGGAGAGGCCAGGGCCAGTGGGAAGGGAGATGGTCATGGTGAGACCTGGCAGAGAGCCTGGTACTGAAACCCAGCTAAGGTCATCTTCAAGCTCCWTTTGGGATCTGATAAATCCTCCTCTGGTCTTTCTGGCTCTTGTGGCCTTGCCAGGAATGTGAATTTTGCAATGGAAGCCCAGCTGCCCCTCGTGCTGATAAACGGGGATTTTTCCATTTGTGCTGCTGCCTTGGAGGCACGTGGAAAAGCACGAGTGTGCCTCTGGGTGCAGAAAAGGAGCAGGAAAATGAAGCCAAAAGGTAAATGTGAACAGGTGGGAATGGCAGACAGGAGGGGCATAAAACATTGTCTCCCTCCTGTGGATTTGGGAGCCGAAGGGGTTTGCTCCAAGCAGAGGCAGCAGGAAGTTATCCTGGCAGGAGAGCAGAAAGATGGGGGTCTCCAGAGCCCCGAGATTCACCATGAGAAGTGAATTGACAGGAAAGGGAAACAGCACAAAAGAAAGCCAAAGTCTGGACCTAAAATAGAGGAGAGTTTCTAAGAAGGTGAGATGGAGACTGAGAGCGAAAGAAGAAGGAAGGAGGCACCACAGGACAGAAGAATATCATGGGCATGGGAGGAGAAGCCCTGGCTCAACTCTGGGGTGGCAAGAGTAAAGGGGGCAGAGGGTGTGTAAAGGGGACAGGGGTCTGTAAAGGGGGCAGGGGGTCTGTAAAGAGAGGCAGGGGTCTGTAAAGGGGGGGCAGTGATCTGTAAAGGGGGGCAGGGATCTATAAAGGGGGGCAGGGGTCTGTAAAGGCCCTTCCCTGTCCTGAGGGCTGGAGCCTCTCCCCTCACAGCAATTTTATCTCAGTTCCTCAGCACAATTGACAGCAGAGCTGAGCATCACAGCGGGAACGGGAAATGTTTCATCYGGGAAATGTTCCACCAAACCCCGCATGGGATCTGCCCGTGGCACTGGGAGAGACGGATGGTTTCCCTTCACCCCCAGGATTTGGTTTGTCCAGCAGGGAGATGGAAGAATGTTCTGGACCCGCGGGAAAGCCCTCTCCGTGCTGGAGAGATGGAAGAATGTTCTGGACCCGCAGGAAAGCCCTCTCCGTGCTGGAGAGATGGAAGAATGTTCTGGACCTGTAGGAAAGCCCTCTCCGTGCTGGAGAGATGGAAGAATGTTCTGGACCTGTGGGAAAGCCCTCTCCGTGCTGGAGAGAGACACGAGATGGGATCAGAGGTGTCCAAACGAACATTTTTCAGCAGCTCCTCCAGCAGAGCTGGGGATGGACACAGCCCAGGGCTCGGCCAGGTCACTGACTGGTGGGAAATGGTCACAGCTCCACCCTGACCAGGGAAATCTCAGGGGTGGGAATGAAATTCCCAGGAATAAAAAGGGTCTGAGTTACAATTGGCCACTAAGTGATTGTCCTTGCTGATGGTCCCAGCAGGACTGGCTGGCTCAGGMGTGGCAATAACCCCTTGGAGAAGGGACAACTTCATTCCTGTCCAGCTGAGACGGGCAGGATCCCAATGGTACAGAACCCACTGGTGTCCCTGTCCTTTTTCTCYATGACATTGGCCACGAGTCCATGTGCACTTGTGCATCACAACCTTCACCAAAAACCACCATGAGAGGACACCCGTGGGGAGCAGGGGGTGAGAAGGGGCTGCACTTACCAGCTTGGACTCGTAGAGCTGTGAGTTTTTGCCAAAGAACCTGTGAGGTAGAGGCATCGAAGAGAATATCCCGGGCTGGGCTTGATATGAGCTGGGAACTTTGTCCTCCGCTGCTCTGCTGGCRCCAGGCGAGTCCTCCCTGCCGGGGGATGGGCACCTGGGCAGCTCCGAGCAGCCTGGGGACGAGGCTTTCTTCAGGGACAAGTGTCTCAGGGATGCCATCTCCCTGCTGGGCGAAGGGTGCCGGACGGGGGACGCTTCTCCTTCTGGCGGCAGCGGTGTCCTCGGGGACAGCTCCCTGCGCGGGGACGGGTGTCTGGCAGGCGACAGCTCCAGCCTTGGGGACACGCAGGGCAGGGGGGACACCTCCCTGCGGGGGGACAGGCGCTGGCAGGGGGCCAGCCCTCTCCCCGGGGACAGGCAGCGCAGCGGGGACAGCTCGGCCGGCGGCGAGAAGCGCTTGGGGGACGTTTCGCTTTTGGTCAGCAGGTGCTTCCTGGCCATCGCTGCTCTGCCACCGCCGCCTCGGCCGCACTCGCGGCTCGGGGACCACCTCCTCCTCGGGGAGGTGTCTTTGGAGGGTGACAGCTCCATGGCCAAGGACATGGGTGGCCTGGTGACAGACTCTCTCTCGGCAGGAGCCAAGCGCTCGGTGGAGGTCAGAGCCGCTCTGGGGAYGCTCGAGAAGCTGCGGCACGCAGTGAGCTCGCCGCCGGCCGCTGACCGCTTGGACTCCAGCCCTGAGGAGGAGGAGGAAGCCTGCTGGCCTTCTTCCCTGGCTTTTGGGGGGCTGGCAGCGGTTTGTGGAGCTGTGGATGGTGCTGCTTCCGTGGCTTCCTCTGGAGAGGACGGGGAGCCCCGCGAGGAGCGCGGCGGCAGCGGGCTGGCTTTGCCCTCCGGCAGCCGCGGCGCCGGCTCSTCCTGGCTCTCCTCTTCCTCCTCRTCTTCCTCGTCCTCGTTGTCATCGTCGTCGTCGGATTCCTCCAGGTCTGAAAACTGGTGCTCCTCGAGGGGCTCGGATCCCTCCCGCCCCTCCGAGTCCTGGAAAAGGTCTTCACTGGTTCCTGGGGAAAAACATGGAAAGGAGAGTGTGAAATGCGTGCAGGGGTTGGGCTTTGCTAGATCTGCTCCTAAAACACAAATTCAGGGGGTATTTTTGTGTTAAATCTGCCCCTAAAACACAAGGAAGGGGCTGGTTTTGGGTAAGACTGCACAAACCCAGTTGTGTTAAGTCTGCTCCTAAGACACTGATAAGGGGCTGCTCTTGGTTAAATCTGCCCCTAAATACACGTTAAGGGGCTGTTTTATGTTAAATCTGCTCACAAAACACACAGAAAGGGCTATATTTGGGTTAAATCTGCCCTAAACTCATGTAAGGGGCTATTTATGTATTAAAACTACTCATAAAAAAACATCTAAGGGGCTATTTTTGTGCCAAATCTGTCTGAAAACACACGTAAGGGGCTATTTTTGGGTGAAATCTGCCCCTGAACATATGTAAGGGGCTATTATTGTATTAAATCTGCCCCTAGACACACGTAAGGGGCTATTTTGGGGTGAAATCTGCCCCTGAACACATGTAAGGGGCTATTTTTGAATTAAACTTGCTCCTAAATACATGTAAGGGGCTATTTTAGGATAAAATCTGCTCCTAAACACATGTAAAAGGCTACTTTTGTATTAAATCTGCCCCTAAACACAYGTAAGGGGCTATTTCTGCATTAATCTGTCCTAAACACATGTAAGGGGCTATTTTTGGGTTAAATCTGCTCACCAAACACATGTTCAGGATCTATTTCTGTGCTAAATCTGCTCACAAGCTCTGAGGGCAGCAGAGGAGAGAGGGCCCGGCTGTTTCCTGGCTCTGATCATCTCCTGCTCCGTGCCCTCCGTGCCAGCTCTGCTGCTGCTGATCCCAGCAGATCCCAGTGAATCCCACTCCACCCCAGTTTCAGTTCCAGCTCCCTGCCAGGCCCCTGCCATGCTTTTTATTTGCTCTAAAATGCAAAAAAAAAACCCTTTAACAGATGAGGACAGCAGTGCCTTCACCCTCCAGAGGGGCTGGATGATTTTGTCACAATGGTGGTGACTCCAGAACAGCCCCAGCTGCCAAAATTCCCCAACCTCACGTGCTGGACCTTTTCCTGCCTGGATTTCATCACAGATAAACACCAGCAAGGCAGGACTTTTGCTGAGAAACTTTTGCTAAAATTCAAACAGCGGGGTAGTAGGAACCCCTGCAGATTTTCCCTTCCTCAGATAAATTCCAGGTGTGGCTCAGATGCTCCTTTGGGGTTTGATGCCTGTATGGGGAAGGCCTTGCCCAAGGATGCTCCAAAAAGCAGAGCTTGGAGGCACTGAGGGTAGAAAAAAAGCAAATTCTGAAGGATTTTAAATATTTTTGCGGGTTGAAACACATCTTTCTCTTGCCTGAAGGGCCAGCAGGCACTTTCTGAGATGAGCACCGAGCTCTCAATGCTCAGAGGAAAATATGCTTTTGCCATGGCAGATGTGCAGAGCTGCCGGCAGCTGTGCCAGCCCAGCCCAGCCCCGAGAGGTCCGTTGGGGACAGCCACTGGATGTCACTGCAGCTCAGCAGAACCCCGGGCTGCGGGTCCCCTGCTCCSGAGGGGCTGGAAAAGGCTCATCCGTGCCTCCAGTGCCAGTGATCCCTCAGGATTTCAGTTTCTCTATTTCCATGTCTCTGTACCCCTGGGATTCTTCAGTGTTTAACTCCAGACTCCACAGACAGTGCTGAGCTCCTGCTCTCCCATTTTTACRCAAAACAATTCCTCTGCAGCCCCAAACTCAAGGACACCTCCCTGKGCCAGGCCCCAAGAGATGGAAACAACAGAGAATTGGGGGAGCCAAGTTGGAGTTTTTGACTGCATTGGCTGCAGCTGCAATTGGAGGATTCAGCAAATCCCGATGTGCAAATGGACAAAAGTGAGAAAGGGTGAAAAAGCCGTGAGCCATTGTCCATTGTGGGTGCAGCCCCTGGCTGGGCTGGGACTGCCCTGGATGGCYCTGAAGGCGCTGCAATGAACAGAACTGCTTTGGATTCTCTGGATTTTATCTAGACTCTGGTTTAGGTAAGCTCGATACAGCATGACCAGCCACCGAAGGCTGGAGTGGGACTGCGGGGACACCCCTGGGGACACCTGGGGACACCCTGGGGACACTGGGTCACTGGCTCTGGCAGGGCAGGCTGGCTGTGCTGTGCCACCTGTGGGTGACAAACCCCAGTCCCACCAGCTGTGTCCCCCCGGGTCAGCCTGGGACCTGCTCCTCCTCCTCCGGAGCTGTGCCCCGCTCAGAGCTGCCATCTCTCTGCGGGGAACGTGGAGGGTGACTGAGCTGGGCACACCCGTGATGCTGGGTTGATTTTTGCTCTTTTTTTTCTTTTATCTATTCCCTGCATTCCTTGCAGATGTATTTGTAGCCGATTATTGTATAACTGGCCAGTTTTCCCAGTGGTTTTCTGTCCCTTCCCCAGGCAGGAACACAGAACACTCCAAGGTGCCAATTCCATCTCGGCTCTCCCTGGCTACCARGATCRGGGACAGCTTTTCCAGACACATTTTCCTCAACAAAGTTCAGTTTCCATCTGAGTGGGGAGGGTTGGGAGAGGGGGAAATGACTTCACCTCTGATGTATCCAATTGGTGCTTTTGGTCAAATCTGCTCATTTGCTAAACTCATAAAACGGTGCTCACCCCACGGGGGGTGGTCTTTGGGGGACATTTTCCGCATTTGCCTTTGGGGGTCTTCGATAAAAACCACCTTTCCATTTCCTCCTGCACTAATATKATCTCCAAATCTTGTTTTATTTTCAGGGTCCTTAAGGCATCACCTGCCTGGGTGGTTTCAGAGGGGACACGGCCACCCAGCATGAAGTGGCTGTCATGGACTGAAAAAAGAGCTGAATTCTGTTTATTTTGAATGCCAGCACTCACGAAGCACTTGGCATTCCCAAATGCATTTAAAATGTGGATTTTCCCATGCTGATTATCCAGCCAACAGCCTGCCTGGAACTGGAACGGGAAATGGAAAGGAGAATCTCATCCTGGTTCCAAACGATCCCCGAGGGCAGAGCTCTCCCTGCAGCTCTCTGTGCAGAGGGATTCTGGCCRGCCTTGCGAAATCCTGTGTGGTGCCGGGGCTGCCGGGCTGTTTGCAAACTCCCCGAGGAGCTGAGCTCAGAACAAATATTATTGCAAACTCCCAGCTGTGGGCTCAGCCTGCCTGCAGATTTCCTGCTCGGAAAAGGAATGTGTTTCACTGGCGGGAGCTTGGAGCCAGCCCCTGAGACTGAGTTTGGGGTTTGGCGTCTCTGGGGTTGGGGGTCTGACATCTTGGGGTTTTGGGGTTGGATATCTCGGGGTTCTGGGGCTTGGAATCTTGGGCGTTTGGGGCTTGGCATGTTGGCAATGGGGGTTTGGCATCTCAGAGGTTTGGGATTTGACATCTCTGGGGTTTGGGGTTTGGCATCTCAGGGGTTTTGGTTTGGACATATCAGGGTTTAGGGGTTTAGTGCCTCAGGGGTTTGGAGTTTGGAATCTCAGGGGTTTGGCATCTCAGAGATTTGGCACCTTGGGGTTTGGGGTTTGGCATTTCGGGGGTTTGGGGATGGACATCTGAGAGATTTAGGGTTGGACATCTTGGGGTTTTGGGGTTGGGCATCTCAGGGTTTTGGGTTTGGCATCTCAGGGTTTGGGGATTTGACATCTTGGGGTTTTGGGCTTAGACATATTGGGGTTTTGGGGTTTGGCATCTCGGGGGGTTGGTGACAATGTGGAGCTGTGCCTTATCCTGGTGCTCTCCCTTCTCRGCCCCGGCCAGGACAGAGCAAGGCCGGGGGTCAGGAGCGAAGGGAAGCGAAGCCCCAAACTCAGGAGCTTTCTGCGTCTGCCACCACAAACCTCAGCGAGGGAAAGGTCTCAGAGAGTGCAGRGACAGCCCCAGGGACCTGCCCCGGCATCCTGACACCATCCCTGCGGGCAGGGGCGGGGCTCAGAGC